TAATTTTACAGCTAACTCTTCGAGGAAATCTTTTAACTTGCGTTTCTACAATCGATGCTAAGGTGCCTCTCCTTTTCGTGATAGAAGGAGCAACCGTGCGTAAATACGAGACTGAGGTGGGGATTCTCTGTATCGAGGGCAGACCTCAACATGTATTCCAGGATTCTTCTTTTGCTTGCATCGTGATATTTCCTGATCCAGCTGATAATTTGATCCTACGCTTCGATTCCGAAAAGCTGCGGGAATACTGGATGGTAAAGGTATGTGGAGCCTAGTATCATATTCTCTGTAACAAACCTTTTGGGTCAGATAGCCACTTGCTCTCACCAAATGGTTCGAGCCCAGCTTGATGAGACTGCCTATAAATTCTACACAATGGGTAAGCAAGAGGCAGACATCGAGGAACCAAACTCTGTCAACTCTTTCTATCTTACAAACCCTTATAAGGTTTCTCACAATTTCGCCATATCACAGGTTAGCGCTAATAATATCGTAATGATAACTTCTTTATGTGTGTTTATTTTACAGCAAAATAATCTACCGTCTCGGCGTGTCTCTTTTGCTGAGACAATGTCAGAATCCAAGCTATCAATAGTACTACCGCTAGAGCTAGTGAAGTTGTACAAGAAGTGGATAACAGAGTGCGTAATGCTTTTTTTAAAAATAGAGCTTTTAGATCCAGCTAAGAAGAATTTTGCACGAAAAGGCTCTTATTTATTCCAATTGTTGTAACAATTTTGTCATTTTCATTGGTTCTATAACCCTTTTACACTCCAGTTGACTTTTAATAACGACTGTGAATAGCTATGTTAATGACTTAGGTCTTAATGATATAAAGGGTTCTATAATGCGAGATCTATTGTAGTAGGTTGGGAGATACCTGTTAAACTGTTAACAGTCTTTGGATGTTCTTACCTGCGGGTACGCCATATTCAATCCATGGTTACAAATATAAGAGCTCCCTCTTTGATGGTAGATTCTCAAATCGCAAAAATCAAGTAACAAGTGGTAAAGTCTCAGCAGAAGATTGCTTCAAATTCTCGAATTATTAACTTGACGATTTTTCAAAAATTTCAATCTGAAATAAAAATGTACTTGTTCAGTTTTGCTGCCCTGTTGGAGTCTCGTCAGCATCGCTGGCCATCGTTTGCCATTAGCGGCCTTCATGATGTCTTGAGAGAAGTTAGAGAAAACTCCGAAACGCTCGAACAGTCTGCTGAATTCCTTCATAACTATTCTGTTAGTTTGCTTCTTGTTGCTATTCTTCCAACCAAATATCCTTTAGGGCCCTCCATTCCGCAAATCTATGGAGAAACATCGAGTTGCTTTTGCTCCAGTACCCACCAATCTTCACGTTCATTCCTCTGTAGTGGATCAGCGTGCCACACAAAGCGTCATTAGTTGCGGCACCGCTTCTGCTCTACCACTTCGTTTCCAGGTTGCTACGTTAACCAAGTGATTATTTGTTGTTTGAATGGACACAT